TTTTAAATCATAGAATTTTGATAACTTCTCTTAGCTTATCCCACATATCCGCTCAAGAAATATTATTTGGTCTTCCATTTCATAAAATTACACTGAATTGATTTATATTCAATCTAATATCATATCCTCATGTAGAAATTTTATGCTAATATTAAAGCTGAATATGTGTTCAAAACAGGGGGTCGAGGGGGAACATCTGTCTTCGTTCGCAGAATCCAGGGGGCGACGAATCAATGTTACGAATTTTTAGAATGAAATGTTTTTCATTCTTGACAAATTCATTCTTGACAAACAAGAGGGGCGCGAAATATTCATTTGTTTCCGGACACTGAAAACCCTAGATACAGCTCTGGTTCAAAACATACTTTTCTTGTTTCTGAAGCTTTCTTTCATACCAAAATACATTAAACTTCTGAAATTACTTGGTTTAATATAAAAACATAGATTAGACGATGCATTGTTTATCCGCAAGACAAAACAAAAGAGGCAATCTATTAAAATGTTTTTTAACAGCTTACAATCTTTCAAAAAGGATCATTGTTGCATACATAATTCATATCAATATCATATCTTTAATTCAATATTATTACGGAATATTTTGTTTCTGTCAAATTTTTATTTATAAAATATTTGAATTTAGAAGGTCCTCAGTCCATTCAAATTCTGCATATGTCACTGGCATTCTGAGAATTTTTTCAACGGCGTCGATTCAAAATTTTATTTCTGAGAGTAATGGTTTTTTTAACCTTTTCCGCGTTTGCACACTGTCACACGACAGCAGAATAATAAAACAATCTCGTAATCCTGACGTGTACCTAAAAAAGTGCAGTCACGAATCTCCAGACTAATGCGGAAGAAGAGAGAACTTATTAACAACACACTATCCACCGTATTCCCCCATATCTAGTTATCCGCAGAGTCACAAACCATCTTTGCTTGGAATCAACGCTTTCAGCATAATTTCCCATCCAATTAAATAAATTACTGTTGCGATGTCAGCTGCTATCATAGTTACTGAAGTGTCTACTCTAACCGTCAGTTTTCTTGTTCATAATTACACCAACTGAGAAAATAATTTGCCTCTTCGTCATTGTCACTTTTCCTTTAACTCAGCATAACAAACAATTGTTGGCTGCGAATTTTTTTTTTTTTTTTTTTGTTTGTTTGTTTTCGGAGATCTTTGTTCTTTTGTGCTCTAGTAATTTTGCGTAATTATTCAATTCTTTTCAGAAAGGGAAGTGAAATTAATGAAGGGATAGCTATTCTTGCTTTTGGTCTTTGAGATTGTTCTACATATCCTGGAAGGAAAAGTCAAAACGTAACGTCAAAAATTTGCTGCATATCCGCTAGTGCTTCTTCTTTAGAAAATGATTTGTTTACAGTTATTTATAAATTGTATAACTATACTTTAATTTGCTTAATTATACTATCGTATCACATCATTATTAGACATTTGATTTTCGCCCAAAGGGGCTATCATTTTTTAAACACGATTCTGCATTGTTTCGCCTTTCACCCGAGCCTGTTGCTATTCGGCAAAATGTTCGACACTATTTACCTTCCATACTGAATCTGCCTGTGATTGATTAATAAACTAAGCTATTTAAAGCAATAATTGCAGTTCTTAATATTACTTTTTAATGTGATTTACATAAAAATGCATTAATTCGTGATATATATAAATAAAAACATTAAATATTTTATATGATTATTTTAAAATTATATCGGGTTTTAACGAAAGCTTGCCGCCACTACAAATATCATATGCGCAAACATTTCGCTTTGGCTTTTTACAAACGCTTTTGGTTATTAGAAAGAAAGAGATTTGTTTTAGAACACTTTATTGTAGAATTTGTAAAAAGATATCGTTATCTTTAAGTACAAGATGAAATGGAACTCTACCAGATTAGATCCATCATTTACCTTCAGTTCTCTTGCAAAAAGTCAGTTACAGACTACCACCAAATCATGTTTACAGCTTTAGGTATTAATGTTCTATCATATGACGTTGTGAAAGTGTGGTACCGAAAGTTCAAAAATAAGGATTATGACATTCAAGAAAGGCCGGCTTACTGATATTGATGAGGACCGCCTTTGAGAACTTGCGGAAGAAGATCAGTATGCATCCACTCGAGAGCTTGCCAAGAAGTTAGGCGGTAGTGCCATGTCCAATAGTCCGTGACCTTCGAGAGGAAGAAGGCCATGACACTTAATAAACATGGCGGAGCTTTCCGTCCGATGTTATCGTCGGAAAGTCATCTGGATTTTTTAATTTTCGTCGGAAATATAACTTTATCATGTTGCTTAGTTAATTAAAATAGCTGAAAGAAAGGAGGATTTATATACATACACACTTTTTAAGCTTTTTACAGATATTTTAATTAACTTTGTGCATAAATATAATTGAAAGAACCGGAAACCAACGAACATTTTAGAAAAATTTAAACGCTGATTGAAAATTGCCACTGTCATGATAAATTGGGAAGAGGTTCTTAAGATAATAATTAATATTTTAACTGAGTCTCAATTATTAATTTATTCGCGTTTCAGCGCAAAATATATAACCATCAACTTCTATATCTCCAGCGTATGTAAATGAAATACTATATAAATTAGCTAATAAATGTGATTAAAATATTTCATACAAGAAAACATACCTAATCTTATAACAAAAAAGCCTTCCAAATCATATTTGAAATGAAATAAACTAACAAACATATGCACACCTGGCAATAAAAAAAATAATAAGCATATAAATGATAATCGAATTCTCATTTTCCTAAATTTAGAAACAAAATATGTATATAAACCTTCATATGATTAAAAGAAATGGTGCTAAGAAACATCAGCATTACTACTAATATTTAATCCATAATATTGCATTTTAAATCATATAATATTTTTAAAATTTAAATTTACTAGTGCAAATGCAGTTCTGTTTTTTCTCTTTGAATTTGTAATATATCTCTTGGTATGAATACGAATATTGCAAGTTATGTTTTTTAATTATTAAATTTGAATACATTTCATTTACATTGTTAATTTTTGTACATTCTTGTGATGGCAATAAAATTCAAGATAAATGGGAAAAAGCTTTTTGTTGTGTGCTATTTAACGAAGAGCATATTTAAATGTGCAGTTCTTACTATTGTATATTATTCAAATCATTTCTGTGCAGTATCCAAGGGAAAGTACCCAAAGGAATGTTATTGATTTGAAAAAATGACTAAAATGGGCCGTAAGAATCTGCTATTGTCTAAAACAAGTGCGTATATATATGTATTTACATATGATCGAAAGAAATGATGCTAAAAATCATCATCTTTGTTACTAATTATTGTACTTTTAATAGCTTGCTATTTAAAAAACACTAAATAATTTTTTATTAATTGGGGAAAGTATTCTGATACTTTTTTTAGTAACTTTCAAACACTGTACAGTTTATGGTTTTTTAAAATATTGCCACCTACACTAATATGTCGACATAATATTTAAAAATATTTAAACATTTTTTAATATTTAAAATAGTGTGTGTTGTTTGTTAGGTTATCTCATTTCATATATGAATGTTGGAAGGCTTTTTTGCTATAAGATTTAGGTATCACATTTATTTGCTAAGTTATATAGCATTTCATTTACATATGCTGGAGATATAGAAGTTGATGGTTGTATATTTTGCTCTGAAACGCGAATAAATTAATACTTGAGCCTATGTAAAATATGAATTATTATCTTAAAAACCCTTCCCAATTTATCATGACAGTGACAATTTTCAATCAGCTTTTAAATTTTTGTAAAATGTTCGTTTGTGTTTCGGTTCTTTCAATTATATTTATGCACAAAGTTAATTAAAACATTTGTAAAAAGCTTAAAAAGTGTGTATGTATATAAATCCTTCTTTCTTTAAGTTACTTTAATTAACTAAGCAACATGATAAAGTTATATTTCCGACAAAAATTTAGAAATCCAGATGACTTTCCGACGATAACATCGGACGGAAAGCTCCGCCATGTTTATTAAATGTCATGGCCTTCTCCCTCTCGAAGGTCACGAATAGTCGCGCTATACATCGCTTAATCTTGACGTACTAGTTCAGTCGGTGGGGCCGCATGAGCTGACTCAAGCAGATAAGGGCAGACGTATTCGGGCCTGCACTAATCTCTTCGAATATCATCGCAAGAACAAAATTTAGTACTCCTCTGTCAGATTTGTTGTTGTTGTTTTTGTTGTGTGTGTGTCTTTATTTGTTTTTTGTTCGTTAATTCTCATCTTCAGTGACATCTTCGCACTCTTTTACTGCCTATACTTGAGTTATTGTATCTAAAATAATTTACTCTAATTCAGTGCTGTAGTCTCTGCTGTTGTCTTTCTGCAATCACTTTTCCGTTTTTCTTTCATTTCCATTTTAAAACCATGGACACCAGAAATAATTTTAAAAGGATAAAATAGCATTAATCTTCTCTTACAATAAATACTACTACCAGGGAAAGCATTTTTCAGACATGAGTCAGTATTAAGTTTTTTAATTTCACTCTACACCTTAGAAATCATATTCAGAGTCAATATTGTAAAGTTCTTAAAAAACATTTCTTCGAGTATTAGAAGATTTTTCTGTACCTTTTTGTTCTAGATAATACGCGAAATAGGTAATTAGTGCACGGAGTACCGGGAATCGTGTGTATCTTTAATGCTTGATATTAATATCTTCTTGTGTTTCTAGATTATTTTAAGCAAATATTTTTTTTTCTCGAATATTTAAAATATTATATGCGTTGGAGAACAAATGTGTGGCTAATTTTAATTATCTGAATGAGTGATATAGGTTGCCCTGGTTTCATGATTTACTCTGTGAATATTTATTTTTGTTTTCTTCGGGTATCAAATATTTTTTCTCATAATTGTTTTCTATATTTTAGTGATTTTCATATAAATAAACTCTGTTATTAGTGAGAACAGTTTAGAATATTTCGGTGAAAATTAACTTTGAATATTCTTAAATGCTCTTCAGAAACATTGTATATTTTATCTAGACCCGTTCAGTAGAAGAAGATGACTTGCGCCAAAGATCCATTAGTCTCTCTAGTCCTCTCACAACCAAAGAAGAGGAGTCCAGTCCCAGGCTCCATTCACCGAGGTGAGGTTTTACTGTATATTACAGAAATTCAAAGATTTGTTTTCATTTGCTAACTTAAACAAGCTGTTTGAATATATTTACAATTACTAATATATTTACAATTACTAATACTGAAAATTAAATATCTGTAGTCATTTTAATCCAATAGATTATTTGAAATAACCTTCGAAATGAAACCCGGAAAAAAGATTTTTAATTTATCAACACAAAAGGTGAATGCAATAAAACTACTGTAGTTATTTATTTCGATAGAGTATTAAGACGCGTTTCGACAATGCAGAAAGCAAAACTACAACGTACTTAATCCAGTAGTGAGTGTACGTGTGCGTGAGCGTATACATAGATACAGATAATTTATTATCATAATAAAGCAACTATAACAACATTACAGTAGCACAAAATGTGTACAAACATGGACCACAAAATATTGATGTGTATGAAAAATAACGATGGCAGTTGAGAGATATCTTTATAATTTGGTTGAGAAGATTTAAACTGTCAGATTTAGAAACTGTATTAATCTACCACCACAAATGTTGTTATTCTTGTTAAGAGAAAGATTCTTCAACCATACATATAAAACATAGCATATAAATTATGAAGTACTTGATTGGGTAAAAATTAATTAGTTCAAAACCCCAAACTGACGTGAAGCGAATTATAGCTATGTCTGAAAGTAAATACAGAGTCAGGGGAAGGTTTAAACAAACCTTTTTATTTAAACAGAATTTGGAATCTAAATGGCCATTCTTGTGATGATAACATCAGCCATAGCTTGTGGTGATGAAAATAAAGGAATAATCAAATTCAATTTAGAACTTAGACTAATAGTCAAAGACTATATTTGCCTGCTCGCACACAGGGAATTCACATTTAAAAAGATCAACTGCAATAAATATGCCGGCATGGTTCAATAACATACATCTAAGAATAAATATGCGCTCAGCCGCATTAGAGACTGCAATACCATTGTTAAAAGCATTGCTGACAGCCTGGAGTGACTTCTTTCCTTGGACACCGTGCCGTCATCAGCCCCGCTCTGTACATATATTAATTTACTTAATGTCTTTTTTTTTTTTTTTTTTTTTTTTTTGGGTGGTGTGTGTGTGGTGTTTTGCTGTTTTTAATTATATTTAATATTATGATTAATCCAGAACTCATTTAATGTATTCCACAATTAGTAATGTATTTGATCACCTTTACATCTGTACCTGATTATTATAGCACATCCTTAATATAACTGTATGCCTAACATGTACGATAATAGTGAAAAGTGTTCCGTTTAGTCTCAGCAGTCCCCACCATGCACCTTCATTCCATGTTCTGGTTCTTATTTCAATGTTCCTTGTTTCGTGGCCAATCCCGGGAGGACACAGTACCAAGCTCTTTATTTATATTTATTCATGTATTTATTTTTAATTCCATCGACAGGATCCAACAGGCTGTAAAGCACCTAACCCAGTGGGCCAGCTGTTCCGTCGATGGTGTAAAGAAGGAAAAGAAAGTCAAAGACTATTTAAATGAAATTTTACTCTAAGCTGGTTGAGAAATTTTCTAACCGAAGCGTCGAATCAATATATCGGCAGCGAATAACGCTAAGCCGAAACTTAAAAATATCAAAAAGCTAGTAAGAACTAAGCATAGATGCACGCGCAGACCAGAAACAAGCTCTATCTTAAAACTCCAAAAACCTCAGTTTAAATACTAGCAAAACTCATTTACTAGCTGGTGAGGAAACTGAAAGTAGAAGTTAAAGCTGAAATTATAAATAAGTAAGTAATTTAAATAATAACCTTACAAAATAATTACATAAACTATAAATTTCCGAACAAACAGTTAACTATATAATGCTAAATATTACAACAACTTCTCTGCATCAAAATATTAAGAGAAAGATTTACTGATAAAAGAAAGTAATCAATCATTTAACTTAAGAATAAATATGTCCAGTTTCTTTGAAGTTTTCGTATTTGATCCGAATTTAGTCACATCTGGAACTAGTTCATTTAGTTTAACAGAATTTTGTGAACTTTTCTGAGAATCTTGCGATTTTCTCGAGAACTTAAATTAATAAAACAATAGGAAGAATTACAAGAAAACCAGGAAATTAATGCAATGAACTTTTCGATGTTATTTCTTATTTATCAAAAAAAATTGTTAACATTTTCATTTGAAAGTTATAAATAATTGGCTTTATTTTTCTGAATTTATTTTAAGAATTATGGTATAATTATGCTATAAGAATTATGATATTGGGTCATATAAAAAGTGTCCGCGTTTTCTTGTCACTAGATGGTGTTGATGCCTATATATCCGGCAACACTCACCCGATTGTCTAAAACGAACATGTACTTAAAAGGTGGTATTCAGCTTTCTTTGTGAAAATAGTTTTCGAATCTGTTGCTTGTGTAAAAAGTTATATTGATTTGAAAATGAGTGAAATATCTGAAGAAATACATTATGTGATGCTTTTTTTACTATAAATAAGGTAAAAAGGCTACAAAAACATGCCGAAAAATTTGTGAAGTGTATGGTGAGAATGCTGTGAGTAAACGAAGGACCCGGGAGTGATTTGCTTGATTCCATTTCGGAAATTTCGATATCAAAGATGCACCTCGCTCTGGTCGGCCAGTCACTGAAAAAGTCGATGAAATTTTACAACTGGCAAGACCGGGACGTAAGCTGTCAGGAAATAACAGAGGCACTAAAACATCAACCACGTGGCAGTTTGGAATCATTTGAAAAGAGCAGGATACAAAAAGAAGCTCAAGGTTCGGATGCCACACAAATTGCAACCTGGCGAAACTATCAATTCGGCCCTGTACTGTGCACAACTTGACCGTCTGAACGAAGCAATACAGAAAGAGCGACCAAAATTAGCCAAAAGAAAGGGAGTTGTGCTCCATCATGACAGTGCGCGGGCCACACACATCTTTGATGACTTGGGACAAATTGACAGAACTTGGTTGGGAAGTTTTAATGCATCCACCATATAGCCCGAACCTTGCACCGTCTGACTACCATTTTCTTCAGTCTCTGCAAAACTCTCTTACTGGTAAAAAATTAGCCGACCGAAGAGCCGCTGAAAATCACTCGCCCAAGGTGTTTCGAAGATAAACCACAGAAGTTCTACACCGATGAAATGATAAAGTACCCGAAAAATGGCAAAAGATTATGAATAATAATCGTCAATATGTACTTAATTAAAATTGATTTTCAATAAAGAAAATTTTTGTTTAAAAACGTACCAAACATGCGCGGAGACTTTCCAAATGACCCAATATTATATAATAATACAGTTACTTTTGTTTAATACAAATATAGCTATTTTGATATATATATAAAAGCGCGCACTTGCCTTTTTGCCTCAGGTGAAAAAATATCTTAGCACGCCTCTAATCCTAAATATGCATTCTGAACCTTTTCTTCAAATCTCCTCTAAATCGCTGATGGTAATGAAAACGTTTACTTAAGTTGACTTTATCTAAGCCTTCAAAATCAGGTACTTCATAACAAGTTACTTCATTCAAGAATATAGCTGACGTTTACGAAATTAAGTCATTAGGAATGATCAGATAAATATGCAGCTGATCTTCAGTTTATGATTGCTTCCACATTACGAAGAATGTTCAGTGTTTTTGCATACTCGTAGTTCAAAGGGGCATTTTTTAAGCTCTGTCTAATAATATTTTCGTCATATGGACAAACGTCGCGCATTAATTCCCATCAAGCTGCTGTAGGAGGATAAATCTGTACTGTATAAATTTTCCAAACTGAAGCCTTTTTGTTTTCTTTTCATTTTCTTTCTTTTCCCCTTCATCTTATTCTAATCAATGGGTTGAAGTAAATTCTCATCATCCACAAAATTCGTGCCATTATTAGTGTACACTATTTTGGAACGACTTCTGTAGGCAGTAAACTTTCGAAACTTAAATAAAAAATTAATTTGCTGATAATGACATTAAGGTTACATGTATACTTCTATATAGAGCGCATGTGAATAACAAGAGCCAAGCCCTTCGTCTCTTTCTTAAAATCAGGGCTCCTGCAATATCTACACCACAACTGTCACTCCGAGCACATGTGAATCATTGATATTTTTTTCGAACAAGGGCGTGACTTTCGTGAGGGGAAGGCCATCACATTAAAACAGGATATTCTTCTCTGTTCGATATTATAATCGGGAAGTTCATTCACTGAATTGTGTATTATCTTTTCTACTGAAAAATAACTTTGTTATATTGTCTATTTAACTAATCCTAAGTTCTCAGAAAATATATTTGATAGATTATTTTCTGAAGATTCTTTAATTAGCTTTCTCTTAAGAAACTGAAAACAAACGAAACAGTCACCCGAAGTTATGCATTTATTGACATAAAATAACGTTTTATCTATTTCAACAATCAATTTAAATTTTGGTTGAGGACTTTTGAGACAAAGATTCTAAAAGACTTTTGAGAAAGATCCTTCTAAAAGAAAGAACTGCTGTTGGCATCAAAACGACTCTTGTATGCATAAAAGTAATATCCCTTCTTCCTAATCATTCCACAATAAATATATTATTTTATGAAAATCTCTATTATATAATTTAAAGAAATGATTTCTGTATGCCTGACATTACGTCTATTTCCTTTTCGAATATCTTTAGAATAATCTTCAGCTGTGAGTGGATAATTATGCACAGTTTCTTTGACCATTACTAACAGTAATCCTATTCTCAGAAGAAACTGGAATTTATTTCATCGTCATTTATATCGTCAGCCATATATTTTACTGAATTGAATCTATAGCAACTCTGTTGAATATCTGAAAAATTAAGGGGTTTTAAACTTTTAACCTCACTCAACTTATGATGCCGGACAAGTTAACTAAAAAAATCCATAATCCTATTCATCATTCATATATCATAAGAACATTCTTATACACAATCGTATAGTGGTAGTACAAGTTAAATTTTAGGTTCGCGTTGTGAGTAAACCCAAGTAAAAGGAAAAACAATAACCCCAAATTCAATTAAAGCTCCATGTTTCTTAAAAAGCCTCCCGGCTCAAACAATTGGAGGGACATGACAAACCACAGTAAATTACACACAAGATAAATACGTAAATGCAATTAAATTTTAAACATACATTTATTAAATTCTTGACTATAATAATATTATTAGTAAATACTTGGGTAACTGATCAGTATCCCTTACCACATATTTTTACTATGAAAATATCGCATCTGTCACACAAAATTTCAGCTTACAATAATTAAAACATCTAATTAATAATTAACATTTTTCAGAAATTAAGAAGGTGTAAAATAATTTAATTCTCCAAATAAATGGTTCTCATTAATTAGAACTACATTTTCTGACACAAAAACTCAGTAGGTGAAACAAATTTAAAACATCCCAAAACGACCATCACTTGAAATAAAATCACGCAATTTTTCTACTGTAATATCTAATTTATAAGTAATAAAATAACAGGATAAATCATTATTACGTTCCAAATGGCATTTGGAATACTAAGAGAGAGAAATAATCTAAAAATTTCACTCACATATTCTTCGAATACACAACCTTGGGGGGGGGAAGTGCCGTTTTCTAGTACGTAGGAAGTCTATTTCCTTGAGCCAACACTATGATTACAGTTTAACCAACACTCTCGCGCTGAAGTCCATTCTGTACAAGAATAGCTTGAGACGGGATGAAGCCTTTTTATAAAACTAACCGCCAGATCAGAAAAAGTTCGTTCTTCAGGAACATATTTCTGTGTGGAACGTCTATGTGTCAGGAACCACAGGTGCCGGATAGTAATGACACATACTTCTGTTTGAAACTTCCAAGTGTCAGACATATTCACTTCGGGAATGTCAAATTTTCGGTTTCGGAAGGATTATCTGGAGATTCGGGTGAAGAGGGAAAATCTGTGGTAAATTGCTCTTTACATCTCGCACTAAATTAGTAATCAGATCTCGCACTAAATTAGTAATCAGCTCGCAATAAAGTGTTCTTTTCAGCTCGTACACATTTCTCCAGACATCTCGCAGGAAATTGTTCATCGCGCACAAAATTTTTAATTATCTTGCAGAAAAAATGTCTCTTCTGGAGAAAAGAAAGCGCAGCTCAAACCCTCTTGCTCAGGCAGCCCGCAGCACGGCAAGCCGGCCGCAGGGCAAACGCCGCTCAACTTTTAATCTACCTTCACATCGCTGCTGCTCAAAATCACTCCATGTCAGACTCCAAAGAAAAACCATAACCGGAGCCCGATGGTACACGCCGCTAGCGAGAGTAAGACCCGCCACCTTTTTTTTTTTCTCCTTCTTCAAAAATCAGAATCCGAATAAACTCTAGCCTGGTACAAGCACCGAAGTAAACTCTCCTCTCCGCCCCCGAAAATTTCATTGGCCTACAAAAAATCATAAAATTAAAATCTTACCAATCCCGGAATTTTACTTTATCTAGACTAAGAAAAAGATTTCACTCCCACGACGAATCAAACACCTGAAAATCTGACAATGCAGTCCAAAAAAGCATCTTTACATACAACGTGGGAACTAAAGTGGACTCCCAACTAACAAGCGGAACTAAGCTTTACGAGAATCCAATTACCTAAGCTTGCAACAATTTCCCACTGTCTTGAAGTAAACAAAATTGCAACTATAACTAAGCGAAAGCAAGGCGATTTTCGTTTCAAACGCCATTACTAAAAGGCGACAACACAACACCCTACTGCCTCCACTGTTATTAAAAAGGCCATAAACCAATAAACCAGATATGTTTCCTCGCAACCGTCTCTCACCTTTGCTACACTTTTGCTTTTTTGCTACACTTTTGCTACACCTTTGCTACACTCAAGAATAACGAGTTAAATAAAGCCTTAACAACTTAAGCATACTTTTTTCCAGATTAAAATATACATGAGTACAAAGAAAAAAAAACTAGAATAATGATAACTTAAAACACATATTAATAATTAAAATTCGCGACTTGACAACTCTTTTACTTTACTAAATTTTATTAATTTCAGCTTTGGAAATTTTAATTTTGTCTTTTCATGTCTAATACCAGAGAAACATTTCGATCACAAGAAACTTTTCCACAAAGAATTTCGCTGCGCTATGAAATGCATTAAAATCTTCTCGATATTATTTTCTTTCTTTCATAATCAATTGATTTAGCAGCTAGCAAAATGCTGGAAAATTCACTATAATTTTAATAAATCGCCTGAGAGTACTTCAATTTCTCCGCTCCCAAAACTTCAAATCTAAAATTCTCCAGAATTGTGAAATAGTAATCAGCAATTATGCGGAGAACCAGCTTTATTTTTAAATTTTACGGGATAAAAAAAATATGTACGTAGCTTGAATCTAGTTTTGCTTTCTATAGCCCCGTCAGATCATCAAAATATTTTTTGCACTCTAAAGAACTATCTTACTGTTGCCAATCTATAGTAACTAAATATTTAGATACAAGTTCATGATTATTTTATTTCTGTTCTTCACATTCCGTTGCATAAATAGTAAGCAAATACAAAGAAAGCGATAAAGCAAGAATAATAACTCTGCATCAGTGTCTTTCATTTGAAAGAAAGCGAGTTGAAAATAGCCTATAAAGTTCTTTCTTATGTATTGATCATGCGAGATATACCATCTTAATGATCAACGTAAAATTTTCTTAATCAACTGTATAAATTTTCAGATTTAGAGGGTTATTTTGTTTGCATAATCTGAGACCGTGTGTTCTGTTTGTAGTGATAATAAATGGTTGAGCTTGTCTATGGAGGAGATGGATCGTGGAAAGGAGGAGGGAGTAGATAGCCAAAGAAGCAGTTCTACATTTGATCTTCCCCAACAGAAGACATCCGAACAGGAAAATGGCGACCTGCCAAAGCCAATCCAAAGAAAGTTAGGCCCAAGGATGGGTAACTTAATGGGCCAACACGCTGCCATTACTAAAGAACTGGAAATGAAACTAAAGTGTGGAATGGCACCAGGTGTCAGAAGAATTCCTTCTGAGGTACGTTTCTCAATGACAGTTGCCCAGATTTTGCATTTTTACTAACAAATCTTGCAGTTTTACTCACTGCCGTCAACAAAACGACCTGAAAATAGATCTCAGCTACAAAGTTCTAGGCATTCCGCGTTTCTTTAGCTGCTTCCCATTTACAATACAATAACCTAACACCAGATAGAATGCCATTTCAGTTTCTCAGAGCATAATTTTCAACAGCTTCCGATTTTTTAATAGAAACTGCACTTTAACTATCCTTATATTTTATAGAATTCGTGTAAAACTTTCAAGTATATATGATCTCGACATCCATGGAAATGTGTAATTTAGTTAAGTGCGGTTCACTGCGAGATACGCATTTCATAAAATACTAGAAAAAAAGAGACATCGTTAGCTTAGGCTATATTAGTTATTACAGCAAAGCATTCGGGAAATATTTGTCTTAATGGTTTGAATAATTTTTTAAAACACGTAAGGGAAATGGATCCTATTCATATTATACGTGAGTAGAGGTAAAATGACAGTTCTGGCTCGGGAGCTTTAGGGAGCGGGAGTTGAGGGAGCTCCCGAGAAGGAAGGCTGAGTCGTGGAAGGGAGGCTTATCTGAAAATGGAGACAGGGAGCCTTATCAGGAGGTGGATGGGAGATAAGGGTTGTTGCTACGTCACAGAAAAACGACGTGTGCTGAAATTTTATTAATTAGGTGATTTAGGCATTGAGTAGTTATATGATAATGTGTAAACTTTCTTACTTATATTGAGTTCATTTCCTTAAACAGATATAAAATGAAATGTTTCCTTAACAGTTTTTGGAAAATAATTATTTTGTTACTTGCCTAAGGTGGAATGCCTATAATATTGCTCCATGTAATGGGTTTCATACAGACATTCTAAACCAAATTATAAGTTTATTCAAATACAAATCATATTGAGTTCTTAAAAACGTATATGAAGTAGGTGTATTAAGTGACTGATACAGTTCATTTCCTTAAACAGATATAAAATGAAATGTTTCCTTAACAGTTTTTGGAAAATAATTATTTTGTTACTTTCCTAAGGTTGAATGTCTATAATATTGCTACCTATAATGGGTTTCATACAGACATTTAAAACCAAATCGCAAGTTTATTAAAATACAAATCATAGTGAGTACTAATTTTTAATTTGATGATTTAAGCATTTATTAGACATATCCATGCGATCACTTACTTACTTATATTGAGTTCTTAAAAACATATATCATGTACGTGTGTTAAGTGACTGATGCAGTAATTTTCTTTAAATAGAAATGGTTATACAATAAAATGTTTCCTTCTATAACCTTTCAGATAATTATGTTCTTACTTATATTGATCCTATGACTGAATATCTACAAAACTGATACATACAATAGGGTTTGATATAGGCAATAAAGACAAGTTTTAAATCAAATAATTAATTTATTAAAATATAAGCAATATTCAGTGTCCTTTTATAATTATTTCATGTCATCTTTATTTTATACCAGATATTATTTTATATCATTCATCAAATGTCTTATATACTGAATATTGCTTATATTTTAATAAATTAATTATTTGATTTAAAAGTTGTCTTTATTGTCTATATCAAACCTACTGTATGTCGCAGTTTTGTAGATATTCAGTCATAGGATAAATACACGTAAGAACATAATTATCTTCCAAAGACTGTGAAAGAAACATTTTATTATATAGCCATTTCTATTTAAAGAAAATAAAACACGTACATGATATATATTTTTAAGAATTCAATATAAGTAAGTAAGTGATCACATGGATATGTCTATAAATGTCTAAATCATCAAATTAAGAAATAGTACTCACTAAGATTTGTATTTTAATAAACTTCTGATTTGGTCTAAAATGTTTGTATGAAACCCATTATAGGTAGCAGTTTTATAGACATTCAACCTTAGGCAAGTAATTATTTTCCAAAGAAGTTATACTGTGAAAGAAACATTTCATTTTATATCTGTTTAAGGAAATGAACTCAATATAAATAAGAAAGTTTACACATTATCATGTAACTACTCAATGCCTAAATCACCTAATTAATAAAAATCTCAGCACACGTCGTTTTTCTGTGACGTAGCAACTACCCTTATCTCCCATCCACCTCCTGATAAGGCTCCCTGTCTCCATTTTCAGATAAGCCTCCCTCCCACGACTCAGCCTTCCTTCTCGGGAGCTCTCTCAACTCCCGCTCCCTAAAGCTCCCGAGCCAGAACTGTCATTTTACCTCTACTTACGTGGGAAAAATTCTTAAATCCTCAAGTAGTTACATACTTAATTGTTGAGTACCGAGCGTGGAATACCAGTATTCAGTGGTCTTAATTATTCAGACATTGAAAGGAACGCATACTGTTTCAGCACGATCAATATTTTATTCTTTTCATTGGTGATGAAACAATAGCTCGAGGTGTCCGAGCCTATGTTTGATAGAGATGTCTCTTACGTTCTTTTTAAATTCTCGAATTCAGTGGAACGTCCATAAAACGATATCACAGATAGTTGGTCTTTCACCTGTATGGTGCTCAAAGCTCTTGCCAACAATAGGCGCTGTTTAGCACTCCTTGCCACGATAAAATTCGTGGGCATTTATAAGTTCAGTCAAATGAGATTAATTACAGAACAACATACACGATTATCAAGACTGTTATTCGTGGTTTTTAGTTCTTATTCCAAATTTCTGGTGTTTTTTTATTAATTTAACCAGTTTAATTTTTAAGGAGAAATTCCTTGCATTCTCCCCCTTCTTAAAGGGCTACTGGGGAGGAAGAGACAGATGGCAGAATCTTGGTTTGATGAATTACTGTTCCCGACATTTTAGTTTGGGGACCTCTTGCAAAGCGATTATGATGTTTTTAGAGCCGGAAAACATTCGAAATCAACTATTCTATCATCGGAATTGGAATTTCGACCTCCCGATGCTTGCCATACATGCTTCCAATTACTCCATGAATGCATGCGATAAGGAAGGAAAATCTTACAGAACAACTCAAAAGAAATACGCCAGCGTTTCAATAACTCCTCGATTCCAAAGAAAGGAGCCTCTACAGTGGCTAAGGTGTTAAAACTCCTTGGGAGTTAGATCCCAGGCGAACGGTATGGCTGCATAATTTGTTTTCCCTATATGTTATGTGAATACGAACCAGTTTCTCTTAAAAAGTCCTCCACGAAGGCATCTGTTGCCTTACGCAGATAGCCGTCGTGTGCTTTGCCATAATCAAAATACGTATATATCAGAAAGAAAACTCCTGATTGTCTACGCAGGCATTGATACATTGTCTCTTCTCCAGGGCCGGATCAAAGCCTTATTGCCCTTACATACATTTACGTCTGTTTTTCCCCCATGCTTTCTTTCTCAGTCTTGGTTTAGCTACATCATACATGCCATAGTAAAACTGGCAATGAAATTCTTTTTGCGGTTCGCTTTTCCTTGAGTCTTAAAAGCATCTTTTTCTGGTGGCTGCTAACTTTGATGGCTCAAGCATGTGCTTATTTTACTTAACGGTTAAACCAACTCTGCTTCTTTCATTGCCTGTACTAAAATTCTCGTCAGCAAGTGCTTTCTTGAAGAACCTACATTTAAACCCGCTGGAGCGATAAACATACGCCTCGTATATGATGTATGTTCCTTCCTCCGTTGAATGCTTGCTGACTTCTCATCTTACAAGGGCCCACCAGCGGCCGAGTGGTAAAAATCTCTGAACACTAGTGATTCGGTCCGAGGTTCGAATCACGCAAACTGGCTGGCTGCATGAGCGTTTTGTGTTTTTGCCCATGTGTAACATGTATACGAGCCAGTTTTCATTAGAACGTCCTCCATGAAGGCATCCCTCAGGCAGACAGCCCTCGATGCTTTGCCGTAATCACATAAACTAAACTAAACCATCTCATCTCTTTTTCCACCCCAAGTTCGTTTACCTTCTCGCTCTTCTTCGTACAATTCTGCGGGCATCTTGACTAACTAGTTGAATATTTTTCTCACAATGCCGACGAGCCATGATGCATTCGTACATTAAGTTAGAAGGCATAACATAAACAAAACAACTGCTTACTATATTGTTTCAGCTTTTTTATCGTGGTATTAAGGTTACTTTTCTATATTTTCCTGTACAAAAATTTATCCTATTATCCTTTCATGTGATTACACTTATTTCATCCGCTTCCTTCCCTTTCCTATATTCTTCATAAATCATATTTATTACCGCTATGCAGACATATTTTATGTCATATATCATTTCTCTTCCAGGACGAAGAAGACCAAAGTAAAGAAGAAATGGAGACAGGCAAAAAGATCGAATACCTGTCTGCAAAAGTCGATTTAGCGAAAGACACGCTCAATGTCTTGGAAGAGAGAGTCAGTTTGTTAACCACCCGTGTCGAAGCAACAAGTGAAAAAAGCGATAAAACTACATCACAAGTCGGAGATTTATTATTACAAGTTACAGTTACGTTAAAGGTTCGAATGTTTTTCCTCTTTCATATTTCATTTGCTTAAAGGGGTGTTGGAACCCCAAAATCTTCAAAAAATTGTGATTTCGGATTTTTCCATATTCAAATTCTCTACACTTTTATCTTTCTAAAAATACCATTCTTTAATCTCTATGAAAATTAGAACTGTAAAAAATCTAGTTTTAATTTGTCATCGCCTTCTTTAATCAAAGAGGATTTTTACATAAAAACGCGTTTCTCTCCAAATCCCGTTCCTCTGATTTTTTTATACTCGATGTATTTTTTCTCAGGATCTACTGCTCACAGGTATCTAATTTTTATGGCTTATTTATAAGGTTTCCTAATATTTACTGAAATGAGCTTTTTGTGATAAACTTAGAGAAAAAGATTGTGTGTGAGAAAAGTGCTAAATTTTACTATGCCTAACAAAATATTCTGTAAATTACCCATTTCAGTATTATCAGATAGGTATACTTTAATTACACAAAAAATATCAAGCGTGTATCTATAGCAGATTTTGAGAAAAAGTACATCCAAAATGACCAATTTAACATTGCCGGTATAGGAGTTGCTGATACTCCTTAAAATAAGGACAAATTTGTTCCCCCTCCCGGCCCCCCAAATGAATATTCAGAATTTTCATTTTTCACTGCACTTTCGGTAAACATATTCATTTGGCTGAATGAATTACTATTTGTAACAATCTTTTGTAAAGAATTCTCGTTCCGAAAAGCAGTTAGTCTTTAAAAGAATTATTAATACAAACATTCTTCATTATTTGTAAAATTTCTCGCGGATACAATAATTTAAATTAGAAGAAAAATCTTTCGGTCAACACCCCAACATACAAGTCTTCGTTTATAAATTGTCAAGTGTTTTATGCATATTTTAATAGAAATATAATATGCAACAAAGTACGTGTTAGGTACTTTGTTATAAATTAGTTTCAGAAGATTTAATCGACGGTTAAAACTTGAGTAGTGCTTTCTAGATAATGATCGACTAAGGCCGGAATATTCATGTATACCATTTACGATCGTCATTTCTGCTCCCATAGTCTTTCACTAAGAATTAAAAGCAGGTTGTTAGAGCCTAAGCTGTCAGTTGTTTCACAACATGCATAAAAATTGGATCACGCATTAAATTTGCTCAGATCTACATCAGAAAAGATAAACTATTTCCTAGAGAATTGCACTACATTACATTACTGAAAACATCCTAGAAAGTTTGAAGGATAAATGTCAAACCTATATAAGATGTCTCTAAAGGCCGTTGCCAACTTAACATGCTGATCTGTCACACCATAACAAACAAGATTTACATATAAACTTGAGTCTGAAAATGCGAACGGCGACCGCTTGAGAGCAATGTTCGCAAGCGAAGAGGGAAAGAAAGAAAGGATCTCGAAAGAACTGTTAATAAGACTATCTTCTATGTTCAAAATCCTTTCCATTCACTAGAATGCATGTTTCACAACGTCGATGCATGGATTCAAGGACCCGCTCAAAATGGGCAGGTGTGTCAGGGGTACGTGCCGCCGCTTACAAGATCCATATCCGATGTTATGGGGTCATATCCGTACACCATGGACTTGATGTATCCCCACAGGAGGAATCCAGAGGAGTCAAGTTGGGCGATCGCAGTGGCCATGCGACTGGTCCGCCTCTGTCAATCCGGCAATCAGGATATGTCCTATCGATGTATTTCCCGCATAGTGCTGCTAAAATGTGCAGGCCCTCCATCATGTTGAAACCAGATATTTCGACGTATAGCTGCTGGAACGTCAACCATGAGATCCGGCAACACTCTTTCCACAAAATGTCCATAAAGAACTGAGTTGGTAAACTGATTCATCCTTCTCTTGCTTGAAATAATCACCCTTTCCACTCTCCCATAAGCCTGCGATCGTTGCTCTTTAAAGGTCGCCATTCGCATTTTCGAACACAAGTTACTATGTAAATCTTATTTGTCATGGTATGACAGACCAGTATGTTAAGCTTGGCAACGACCTTTTGAGACACCCTGTATAGTTGGAAGAAAATCGATAACCTTGCAGATTTCGAGATAGGAGGCAATGCACAGCGAAACGAATACATTCTTATTAAATGCTCCAAATTTGAGGTCGATGTATGTGTTACCTGGTGCGAAACTTCCCATAATTCACATTTAATCAATGAATGAAGTGTGAAGGACGAATTAGCTGAACAGCTGTGTATTGAGCAATGCGAACCATACAACTTAACAGGAGACATATGAACCCTTAAAAATAAAATTAAAATTAAGTCTAAAAAGTTGTTGGTGCACTTGTGACTTTTGTAATTTTTGTGGGGAAGAATGAATCATCCAGTGTCATTGTAAATACTGTTCAGAGGAAGAAACTACATCCAAAATGAGTAACTATTGGATTAAAAGAAAAGTAACAAATGTTTGGCTACTAATACGGACTGTATCCAATCAACATTTAACTACAGCTCTCCAATTTACAGTAAAACAGAATATTCATTTTGAGATCTCATATTTAAGAGTTTCACAGCATCGGCATCCACGATTAGGTTGCTATATCCAACACCTTAGCCAGCAGTGTTAAAGCCAAACTTTCACACTGGTTTCAAAAATGCTCCCAACGGAATTTTGGAAGTTTCCCAACGAGTTCAGCATCATTCCCGCACCGAAGAGAGCTTACATGCAGAGGCTTACTGCTCGAAAAATGTTATAATCAAAAGAATCGAAGTGGCGGTGTTAGCCATGATATTATGGCTTAGCACATCACTAACAATTGACATTTCTGGAACATTAGCTGCACTCATAGGTTCAAATATTGCACTTGAACTGTGTATCAGAATGATAATACACCAAAACGTACATAGCAAGATTTAGTGACTGGAAAGTGTAGGGGAACATATTATATGTGTAAGCACTTATCCCATCTGAAAAAAATCGGGGACATTTTAGAACGTATTGTAACAGCATATCAGAAAATATATTCTTCTAATCATGACTTTCTGAACTTGCTTTGAAGCATAGCTTAAAGTTTCTGTAGCCAGTGCATGGGTCTTGCTTTAATCCTTTTCAAGATGTACTGTTTATCCAAAGCAGCAAAAATTATATAAAAAACTGTGGTATTTTCAGGATGCAATTCTTATTTGTTGGAATGAGTTTCTTTGCTGTTTTGAACCCTGTGCATGTGTTATATATATATATATATAAAACTATAAGTAGATTTTTTAATTAAAAGATTCTACTTTTGTTTTTCAGAACTTGAGAAAAATAAATGTAGATTATTTGATTAGAAATACAATAAACATATAGTAGGCAGCTAAATAGACAGGATTCAAGGCCTTTTTTACAAAGCACTTAGTCCATGCCTTTTTTTAGAATCTATTTTAAGTATCCTTTTTTGCACTCCCCCCAACAAAACACAGTCATATGTACAAACTCGTCTTTCAGACTATGAAATTAAAATATATTATTGCATGCATTCATGTATAAACATAGACCTGCAAAATGTTTTCTCTGTTTTCAGCAGGTCAGTGTCTTTACACTTTTATCCAATAGCTTATGTATGTGATGTACTTATTGAATATGCTATATCTTTGTTTCATTTTATTCCTGCAGGAAGCTGAAAGAATAAATGCAGAATGTAAACGTGCACTTGAAGAAGCAAACAAAGCAAGAACAGAATACCAACTACTGGTGAAAGAATGCAAAGAAACACTGGTAAAACTAAATGGAGAACAAGAGTCAGAGAATGGAACTTAAGCCTTTACATTTATTTGATCTTTTATATAAACTAAATATGCTGAGGAACACTATATATTACCAAGGAAGAAAATTAAAAAGAAAAAAAATTAAAGTACAGTATTATGTGAAACAGAATCAAACATTTTAACATTTCTAAATAATTCTTTGAGATTTGTTTTAAGACTGGAAACAATTCTTAGACACAAAATCGCAACACAGTGGAAGTTTGAAAAAACGATGAAAGCATATCAATTTTAATGTTAAAACACACAGTTGTAATGCAAATCATGGCTTAAAAACCAAAACTGAAACTTTTGAAATCAAAATACACTTCAAATAAGCGATAATAGTTTATAATAGTGCCCATTTTCATCAAAGTAAAAATAATCTTGTTAACTAAACAAAAATATACACTAAAATTGTACTCTTATTAATAGTTTTCAGGCTTTTACCTATAATAATGAAATTCTGCAAAAAAAGAATTGAAGTGTTGTAGAATTATTTTCTTATATATATATTTATAATGGAGAAAATTTCATATCAATTAAAATAGTCATTTAATATTCCTTAATTTCTTATAATCAGTTAATCAGTTATATCGTAATTTTTATTTTCTGTGCATACAGAAAGTATCAAACATTAAAAATATTCCCTATCTTAATAGAAACCGTTTTGATAATCTCTGGACATATTTTTTTTATATAATTTGTATTTGTGTACCAACATGAACACTATGATAAACCAAACAGTACATTAAAATAGCATCTAAATTCACTGCTGAAGTTTTAATAGAATAATTCATTTTTTAACTTTTATAATTAACAGAATAATGTTCTCGCTGATAAGGAAGCATATTCTGGACAAACGTTTTTCGTTTAACATTAAATGATACATGGTTCTCCAGAAACACATCAATTTCTAAAGTTCTGGGCATTCCTTAAGAATATTGAACCAAATATCAAATTTTAGACAAAAACTTGACTTGCATTATTTATTAAATTTATTTTCATCTTTATTAATAGCCAAAGCAATAAGTTCAGATTACATTAAATCTGAGTACATTAAGCTAAAACAACAACTAAATGCAAATATGATTCCCCCCCTCCTTTTTGAATAAACAAGCCATAGCAAAAATTCAATCATGTGAATAAAGATCCCTTAAAAACGGTAATTTTTTTACACTTTCATAGGAAATCAATATTAAATCAATTTAACAAGTATTTTAATTTGGTTTAAAATTGAAAGGAAAACTAAATTCCTGCACTATTCTTACTAAAATTATACCACACTTCTGTAATTAAAAAGAAATATTGTATAGACGTAGAAATGTATATCCTCAATAGTATATTTTGACATTTGATTTTCTAGTCAGTGCCTTAAATATTGCTACAGATTTGCAAATTGACATCTTTATATATTTCTAGTATGGAGAATTTGTTTACTATATGTTTATGTTATAAAAGGCTGCAGATACATACAATAAAACTAAATATATGTGTATACACACATACTTAAAAATAATTTTGAAATGCATAATCTAATTTAAATATATTTTTTTACTCATGTAAATTTTGCTACATTAATTTATGAAATTTGCAGGTTTTAAATGAGATATTTTCCTTTTATAATAAAATATTATCTGTAGCCTTAATTTTGTATTTTGATGCTCTGTTATAAAATGTTCACTATAATTGTAAATAAAATTTTTGTAATCATTATGAAGTATTTTTTAAATTTAGGCAGGGCTCTGTTAATTTAATATGTAACTGATTAAAATGAGATAATAATTTTTATTTTTATGACTGGCAGTTACAAACCCCTTTAAGAGACTCCAGACTTTTTTTGTTCCAATACTGTTTAAATATACACTGCCCTCCAAAAGTTAAGGAACAGCATGTTTTTAAAAGCTCACCATTACAAAAATGTCAGCAACATTTAAATTCACAGTTTTATATGATTGATAATAATGAAGTTAAAGAAAATATATGCAAAAACAATAGCTACCAGTTTTATTTAATAGAAAATGAATACTTAGGAGTTGCAGGAAAAATGCAAAAATTGTAAGTTTTATTCACAAGTGTTGATCTTCAATTGTTATTAGCAATTTCGTTGACAACATCCAGGAGATTCTTTTAATGTCCAGGAGAAGTCGTTTACCAGATTTGTTGAAGTGGTCGGTGATCGGATGAATCGAAATGGGGATGTCATGAGCTGATGCTGCTAGACATCTCAATATTTCTTGTAGTCCATCAACTATGAAATCAGTTTGAATACCAAGCTTCTGTGTCTAAAACACAAGTTCCAGGCAGAACAAGATTTACAACACCTGTGGAAAACTTATTTTGCCATTTTGGTCTGAAGGAGTAGCAATATTACTGTGCCTCAGCTCATGGCAGATCATTTTGTGGCAACAGGAACAAGAATCTATGCTACAGTGCACAGACACCTGGACAATACAGATCTGTATGCAAGATTCCCAGTTGTTTGTGTCCCCTTGACCTGAGGACACAGAGGAGTCCATTTATGTTAGGCAAGAAAACGTGTCTCCTGCAATGGGCACTGTTCTCTTCACAGATGAGTTTAGGCTCACATTGGAGAGTGGTTCAGGTTGCTAGCTGATTAGGAGGGAACAGCGCACCAGATATAACCAATTCCACATTGTGGAAAGACAGTTACAGAGGTGGTGGTATAATGGTTTGGGTCTCTCTTGGTGGTCACACTGATCTGTGTGTTCCATGAAGGAACTGACTGGTCTGAGATATCAAGACGAGATCCTTGTTCAATATGTCCGACCATATGCTGCTGCTATTAGTTCTGGATTTCTTCTGATGGATGCCAATGCGCGACTACAATGAGCTCGGGTTGCTAAAGAATATCTTGAGGAATATGGAGTGGATGGAATGACCAGCTCGATCCCCAGACCTGAATCTGATACAGCATCTTTGATACTACCTTGGGAGACAGGTTGCTGCTTTAAGACCTCCTCCAATGTTGTTAGATGAGCTTGAACAAGGATTACTTCATATCTGGTCACCGCTTCCCCTTTCACTGAACGACAACTTGACTGATAGCATGGAACATTGCTGCCACCAATGTATTGCAGCTAGGGGTAGACACATTCCCTTATTAGAATTTATTTTTGTAATCTTACCACCACACTGTTCCTAAAAAAAATTTATGTACTGTTTCTCCAAGACTAGATTTGTCTGCCAAGAAGGCAACTTTTTGTTGTAATTCATGTTTGTGCTGAATTTTAGAAACAGTCAATGTCACACATTAAAGAATTGTTTAGTGAACTGGTCCTCTAAATTTCTTGTTTTTATGTTGCTTCATTGTCAAATTAGACAAAAAAGACTTTTTGGAGGATAGTGTATTTTCAATATGATCATTATAAAAAAGTTACATACACAAATTTTAAAAGACATAATTACAACATTTTATTAACATTTCTTCACAAATTATATTTACACAAAACTTTCATTTAAAATAATCCTGTATTAAATTCAAGAATAGCAAATGAACTTTTCCAAAAAACAGATTTTGCTCAACATTAAAAATTTTTTTTTTTTTTTTCATGTAGATATTTGAATTGCAAGGTAACTTTCACCATATCTAACATACAGCTATCCTACATGAAGAAGTTTATATACAAATTTCTTTGCATTTCATAAGTAAAATAAATTGTGCATTCAAAAATCACCCTCTCATAAAAGATTTTTTTCCTTCTTACGTTTGTACAAGATATAATATGAATGTGGTATAAAACACAAAATACAACTTTGTAGCACAATGTTATGAATTACTTTACAATGATGCCTTAAAGACCTCCAGCAAAAAGGCAAATAATAATAATAATAATAATAATAATAATAACATTAAGAAAAGTTTTAAAACATGAATACTTGTACAATACATAAAAACCCACTAATTCTTGGCCAAAAATGGAATACTGTAGAAATATGCCACTGGTTACAAAGTAGAAAAAAACATATGTAACCATGACAATCAGCCACTCATTTCACAGATCTCATTTTAAAAGATTCAAGGCAACAATATTCAAAGCCATATATTTATACAGCTATCTTTAATATAAAAAAGATGGCTATGCTGCTTGAAGCTCATTCACTAAATGCCATATCAAATCAATCCAATACTGTAGCAAGCCAATTACTTGAAGCTTGAAAAAAAATTAAATCTAGAAACAGCTTTACTGTAATCATATTTTTATAATTTTACAGTCTTCCATAAATCCCCTTTTGAAATGTCCTGATGAACTACCATACAGCCTCTGACCCGCAAAGGCAATATATTTGAAGTAATATACAGTTGCTAGAAAAGAGATGCACACAAAAGTTTTCTGATAAATAATCAGAAAACATTTCTTTATTTAATTTACTTTTAATAACTCTTAATGCTGTTAGATCAAGCTTGCTTTCAGAGATTGGTCATTTAGGTACACAAATATGTTCACAGATCGAAACAAGAAAATGAAGCTCAGATTTAAAACACATCAAAAGCAGATGAATTGGCAAAAATAATTTCATTTTTACAACTATACTTCAACTGTAGATGGACTTCCTTTTTCTCTCGAATTATTTGATTTGTTAGACCAATGATTTTGCGCTTTAGGTGTTGCATGCAAATTATTGGTGAAATTAGAAGACTTGCTCTTTTTCATAATCTTTCCACTCATGATTAGTCTACCAAAACCTTCTTGGTGTGCAAATGCATAACCTGATCTGATAGATCGTCTGCTGCTACGTCTCACACTTGATATCCTCAAGGTAGGTTCAGAAGGTCGAGTTCTCAAATGTGACAGTCTCTGCCTCAACCTGACTCTGTCCGCCAGTGATGGGTGAGTGTCCACATAATAGAAACGAATTGCTACAATTGGTACAAGAAGGATAGCAATTGTGAGGAATAAGGTAAACCAAAAATGGGCTGTACTCAGAGTCATACGAAAAGTTCCAACATAAGGATTTCCAAAGAAATTCATGTTGATGAGTATTGTCATGCCCAAGTAGAAAAGAGCACTTCCCCATATCACCACATGGTTGAAATTTGTCCAATATGCAGTATCAAGGGCAATCTAAATGGATAATAAAAATCAGAAAAGTTAATACTAAAACAGTAATTTTATAATATATAATAATTTGAACTATTCAGATATGCTCATATTGCTACAAATAAAAATAACATTATTTTCATTTAACAGAATTACTAAAAAGGTGAGTTTTTCACGTTGTTCTATATTCATGAAAATGAAGAAAATATCCATTTCATATTCCATCAACATTACATCACTTGTATTTGAAATGAATCAAAATTTTCTGCACTAAAAAAGTATCCTGAACAGGGAGATGTTATTTTCTGCTACTCATGATATTATACACTTAATAACAAGAAAGCAATGCACCAAGTAGGAGTTGGGACGAAATTGCATATGTCTACACTTTATGACAGAACATGTAAATGATTAACTTTTGACAGCAATGACTGATTAGCTGGAGCTCCAGCATGATGCAATGGAGCATCCATATAGCATACAAAGCAATAGACATTTGGTAAGACATAACTTCCATGTGAATGGTCAACCCATATGGACAGATAAATGCCTGTAGATTCAACTACATTGGCAGAAATGTATGAACCATGATAGAAAGTAGCAGTTGACTGAGAGCACCAACGGAATGCAAGGACAGAATGATCTTCTGATCAGTGCTCACAACCTCTGACACATCCTTATCAATGATTTGACATGTAACCCAGACAACAATGACCATACACAGGTGACTCAGTGAACTGGGACTGAGGTCCCAAAGGCCATGACGATGACAGGCCTTCACCATTGCACGCATCCAGCCACATTTGCATAGGTGCTGGGTGCATTCAACCTAGGATCTCACAGACTGGAGTAGAATTCTTTTCACTGATGAGTCTCACTTTGAACTGAGCCCCGAAAACCAGCAGAGATGTGTCTAGTGACATCCAGGAGAGCAGTGGGATACTCACCTGACTGTCATCCATGATACAAGACTGATAACCCGGAGTTATGATATGGGATGCCACTTCATTAGTTAGCTGGACCAATTTTGTTATTATCTGTGAAACCCTTACAGAACGGTGATAGGTCGACAAGATGCTATGCTCTGACGTTTTAATGCACCAATTGGAATGCTTGCATCAGGCTGGGACAATGTATTATTGATTTTTTTCTTTTATAGCTGTATTTCTTAAATAAAACATTTAATTTCTAAAATGTTAACATTTTGTTTCCAATACATGTATGCTCTGCACAAAAAAAGGGGAGGGACAAATTTAACTTGCATTTTTGATGTCTCAAAAGCATGATTCAGGATATATTTTAGATTTATACATATAGCACTGCTATGTATTAACCTAATATACACCATAAGTTGCACTTTTGGCCCAGTAACACAGGAAATATAAAACTGTTACTTTTTTTTTTTTTTTTTGTGTGCGTGTGTGTGTGTGTGTGCAGAGTGTATTTCTAAAAGTATAAAAATCCCACATTAAAAAATAAATAAAGTAAAATATTAAATAACAATAATTTAAATGATATTTTTAGATGATATTCTAACATGAAAAGGAATATCAGTTTGATGAATTAAAAAACACGATTCATACTAAAAGATGCATAATATATGGTGTTAGAAAAATCTTAACAATTACAATAATATCCCATCAATATACTTTATATCAATTAGAATATTAATAAAAAAATAAAAAGTTAAACTAATACAGAAATGCATTTAATACTTTTGAATTCCTTTTTTTAAAATTAAATTATTTAAATTCAAAGGATAAATTAAAGATCTAATGTCGATAATTAAATCAAATGGCACCAGTGCCATCAAGACTGTTGATTGCACTAAGATCTTCATGTAATTCTTTTACATCCTTCAATTGCATTGCTCAATGCATACTGTCTATAAATTCAAATAATTAAAAATTAAATTTAAAATGACATAAGAATTTGGCAGACTTCAAGTATTTATTTGTTACATGTGGCTAATTGCTATTTTGCTGAAAAATACGGTGGTAAAACAAATGTGCATAAACAATACAATTAATTGCAAAAGTTGTATTACTACCTATTAAACATAAAGAATTAAGCATAACAAATTCTAATAATAAATCAGGCATTTTTTGGGAGAAGTTATGGTTTCTCTTACTGACTGTGGAGCATGCTTTCAAGACCTACCAGTACATACATAATCACTTGGGGAAATCTATATGCATACATTTTACAGAAAAAGTAACTGAAAGATATAAATATTTTTTGGCATGCCAAGCATGGGAAATTTCAAATTTAATTAAATTCAATTTAAATTTACAAAATGCATTCATACAAAACATTAAAAAAGAATAAAATTTTCTGCTATAATGAAAAAAAATTATAAGTGAATGAATTCAGGCATTGAAATTAAGCAGTTGAATCAGTTCTAATTATCCATAAAAAGTTTTTTTTTACCTGTACTGTTACTACCAATACCAATATTGTTGATACAGTTGTTCCAAACAGCTGATGGTCATCAATGTTTAATCCATTGGGATCAACTGCATAACTAAAGGCGCCATAAGGAATAAAAAATAGGATAAAGGAAGATAAAAGACCATGAGCCACAGATTTCAGGAAGATCATCTTGTTAAAAAGAAGATTCATCAAGCCTGGAGTATAGAGTTTGGGATATCTAATGGAATTTTTATCACTTACATCCTGAAATCAAAAAACACTATTAAAAAGGCATTTGCATGTGTATTTAATCATATTCAATTACATATATACATGTATATATATGTTATGATTAACCACTTGCATTACGACTAAACTTCACGGTTGCGGTGCCGTGCGCTAAAATATAACAAGTGGTACAGTATCTCATTTATGCCGCTCTGTGTCTGCGAGTGCAATCCAGAGCTGTAACACGAGAAATAAACAATCTCATTGTTAGGCGACAAGTGCACCACATTATTTTAATTTTTGCGATAAATGCCTATCGACGTGGTGCTCACGTCGCTCGCGGTTTGAGACAAAAGCATCTCGATGTGTGTGGCAAGTCTTTTTAGCGCAAGTGGTTAAAGTAAAAAATACAATTAATAATAATGCCTTTTGGTGAATGTGATAAATAATGCATAATAAACACATTTACCAGTAAATATGAACAGTTACCTATGAAGTTTGGTCAATATGATCAATTCCGTTCAATAGTTTGAAACATTAAACCCTAACATAATTTTAACGTCATGTCATGTGAAATCTTTGATCAGCTAAATTAGAATTCTCATGAGCACATTCTCTTAGACTTATTTCAATGTTTGAAACTTCACTGATTTAAAAAAAAAAAAAAAACTTCTTTGCAGCGGGTGAAATCATTCTTTTGTAGAGTTTGTTTAAAATACCCTGTTTTGTACCTAGTTTATAAGAATTTTTGCTTTCTTTAAAAATTATAAAGATAAGTATTCTGTCTGTCAGCTTTACCCCTGTCTACCTCTATTCTTCTTGCCTGAACCTCCAGCCAATTCCATGTTTTAACCTTTCTGGACAGGCATTACATAATATGAAAGTCTCACACAGCTGGGCATCCCACCCATGCATCACATACATGGAGAATGCAGGTTGATGCATATATGCATTTTAATCTAAAACATTTTTCGAAGACCACCAGATGGCATTTTGTGCCCATTACTTTTGAATTTAATGTAGTTTTAGAATTCTGACCTTCAGTTTGATCACTTTCTGCATAACATTAGTCTTATGCACGGAGGGGAAGCATAACGTAAACAAACAGAGCTTGGGATCTTTAACTCACCATGTAATATAAACATTTGCATTTCCAATATCCCTTCAAATCCTCTTTTATTTTTTCTGCTGCTATATAGGGCCTTTTAGGGTTACTATGTGGAGTCCTACTATGCTTTGCATTGCTTTAATCACTTATATTTTGCATACTTCCCTTTTTATTTCAGAAAGCTCCGATTTCAGTTTATTAAGGCAAGCAAGCATTATTTATTTGAAATAGGAAAGATATGCTCACATGGTAAATGAGCCAATTAGTGACATGGATGAGAATGATTATTCATTTCCTAAAGGGTTAGAGAGTGATATTTCTAGTGATTCTCGTAGCGACATTTTGTAAGAGACTGAATACACCGAGTGCCTGTTTTCCACTTCCTGTGAAAGATTTTTTTACTTCTTTTTGTAAAAAGTATTTCTTTTTTTTTTTTTTTTTATTAATCTATTTTGTCAATTAAAATTTTGGAATAATTTGAATAATGGTTCTGAAAATTATTTCTCAAGGTAAGCAATTTCTTTAGGTATATTTTCACGTTAAGTAATGGGAAAAAACTAGTAAATGATAATTTTAACATATATTATGATAGCTTAAGTAATAATTTAAAATAGTACCAAAAATTATAACAATAGAACTTTCAACTTCATTTTTGCGATTTTTTCCCCCTAAAGTTAGGCTTAGCGATGCAAAACCCTGTCCTGTAGGACAGTTCCTTTTGACTCCGATTTGTCCATGGAATTATCTTAAACAAAGGGATGCCATCTTGAATAAAACATCGAATATACAAATGATTAGTATTTCAGTGCATTTAGATGTCACAGGAGGGAGAAACAACATATCAATCACTGCATAAAAGAAAAGTTGTGTAGTGGATTTCTCATTCGGAAAGTGCTCTGTACGGTTGGAGTTTGCTCAGAATATCGTGTTACGACTCAAATAATAAGAAGAAATGCTTACCAGCTAGTTTTGAAATTCGATAGAGGCACAGTCGCTGCCTATCAAATGTGTAGATTATCGTTCTGTGATATCGCCGGTCACACTGGCCAACATCCAACCACTGTCATGCGAATATGAAGTCAATGGATTGCTGAGGGTCATATTGAACAGCATGCAGGATCTCAATGCCCTCCCATGACTAATGTCAAAGAGGACAGACATACTGTGAGGGAAATGGGCATGTTTGCAACACATTCAGTATCAGTTTGTACGGTGCACCGACATTTGCACCAGTGTGAACTATCAGCAGGGTGACCATTACTTAGGCTTCTCTTGACAATGCAGCATACAGAGATGGCGACTCTGGTGCACCAAACCACAAAGCTGCAAAAAGGAGTAGCACAATGTCACCTTTTCAAACGAGTCCCAGTTCTATATGCAGTATTCTGATGGCCGTATACATGTCTGGAGTGTCCCAGGAGACTGCACTTCACCCGCTTGCATTCGATATCAGTATAGAGGCCCTGCACCTGTTGGGTTTGGGCAGCTACTGGGTGAATGATATGCACATCTCTAGTTCAGACTGACGCTAATTTGAACACAGATGGGTATATTTCTGATATCTTACATCCAGTGGTTGTGCCCTATCTTCAAGTCCTCCAAATGCCATGTTCCAAACAAGATAATGCAAGACCACATGTTGCACATCGTGTTCCGACCTTCCTCGATACGCAGAGTATTCTATTACTGCCCTGGCCTGCATGGTCTCCAGATCTGTCACCCATTGAAAACGTCTGGTCATGGGTTGATGAGAGACTGGCCCGCCATCTCTCTCCAGCAATACTGTTGATAGTTGGCTCGATCGCAGCATGATAAGTTTCTCATTTGACTCCTCCTAATAGATAAGGCCATTTTAGCTGCCAGGGGTAGCAGCTGCTTCTACTAATCTTGCACACCTGTAAACTTAAATGCTTACAAATTTAATCATTTTGTCTTCATGCCATATTGTTTACATGCAATAAATATCATTTTTGTATTTGCTTTCCTTCATGGTGTTCCATTTTATTGGCCCACAGTGTATTATTCTATTCTTCTTACTATGAAAAATGATGAGCATACATGCTCATGTACATATCTGTTCTCGTGCTTTCTACTGAAAATATTGCATCGATCATAGTATATCCTCTGGTCATATAGTGTTTTGGTCGCAGTTAGAAATTTTGACTTCAAAATGCATAGCGTTTTTTCTGCTCACTGACTTAGTAACTGTTTATCAGAGCATCAAGCTTCTTGAATATTTTCTGAGATTTCATCAAGTGCACTAGTCTTCCTTGTTTTCTTTTCAATCTTCTATTCCAACATCAATGAAACTTTTTGCTTTGTTTTCATCATTATTTGTTCTTATTTCAAAATTATTTTATTCACTTTCTGTTTCTCTAACACTCTAAATTATATTTTTAACTGAACTTGCAACAGTTATTACCTCCGAGTAAGTCTTCATTTAAATCACCCAGTTCCCTTTCCATACAGTCATCATTCAAGCACACTTAAAGAAACAAAGAACGTACCCATGTCTTCATTCTTTGTTGAGATTACTGTCTGAAGTTGGACATTATTACTAAAGTGATTTCTTAATTGCATAACTGCAAATCTTAAACTGAATACACTGAAAATTATTATATTTACCATTCATTGTTGGAAATTAACAATTAGTTCATATGACAAAATTTCATAATTACTTAACTTTAACTGATTATTATTAATAATAACCAATTAATCTATTGACTATAACATATATATCAAAATAAGTCTGTTCGTCTAAGTGTTTAACTTACAAACAGCACATTTTATTAACACTTTCATAGGTTAGAGATATAACTTTGTCTCTCTGTAATCAGTGCTTAACTAACTAGAGACATAAATTTACATTTTAATGAATGAATATTGCTGCCCTGTTTCCATAGTGTCATAGATTTAAATTTGGGATTGAAATATACAGAAGGCATTTATATTTGTTGGTGTTATAGCATTTGTGTAGCATGGTGGGCACTCAAAATATTATTGAACCAAAAATCTTTTCATGAGGTTTGTAGTCTTAAAAGCATGGGGAAAGATTCTCTGATCAGTCCTGCAGAACGTTCTATACAAAAATTGAGACAGAACTACCCCTCCTTTTCAAGGGATTGCCCTCTGTGGTGCAACCTGGGCAACATTTTCGTTGATGGCTATATGGGTCATTTTCAAAGAATGTTCAACTAGTAAAGTGCCTAGCCATTAAACCTCTATAGCATTTAGACTGCTATCTCAGAATGCAAAAACTTCTAATTTTATCAATGCAGAACCTGAGAATCATTTTTCTGGATTATTCTTTTATCTTATGCTTTTTTGTAGATTATATTTGTTCAGAAATTCTGCTAATGGCAAGTGCATAGAACAGCAGCTGCATGACTGCTAAAAATGAGAATATCAAATATGTCCTTACAGCAATTACCATATTAAAAAATAAAAAGTTTTATTAAAAAGGTCAAACACATATATACATATAGGGCACAACTATAATGCATGATAAGGTAACTCTCTAAATAAGGTTCTTTCACAACATGGTAAACATTTTACATGAAATCACATGAAATGAATTACTGGCATATATTTTATAAACTTATTATTAAAATTATTAGACTTTTCTGTCACTTAAATTGCAAAAACTGATGTAAATAACATTAAATTTAAATTTTACACATCACCCCTATGAATTCACTATAAAATTGAATAAAAATACTTGTGCCAATTATTTAGGAGTTAAACTATATTGTGCATAATGCATTCATAATTATCACATGCCTGAATTATTATTAACATATGCAATAAAAATTAACACCATGTAGTATTTAAGCAAAATAGTTGGAATATCCACCTGATCAAAAACTCCTAAAGCTAGAACAGGTAATGAAGTGTAGAACACATTGTAAAAAGAGATGAATACAGGATCATAAAGAGTCTGCAATGAGAATTAAAGAAAAGTGTATATATTAATTACACAACTGCATTTAGAATGATTTACTCAATGAAAAGGATAAAATAGCACATGTTATAAAAAAGAAAAAACTAAAATTACTCCACTGAAATCATTTACCTGAGCTGAAAAGCCGCAAAAGAATGCAAACCAAAAATGGCATAATGTAAATGCAAAATTCTTATAAAAAAAGTAGCGCAAGAACTTGGACATCCGGAAATAAGACCAACGACCATGGACTAGCAGAAGCCGTTCTAAGTACCGAAACTGAGCAAGAGAAAAGTCACTGGCAAGGACGGCTTGCATTCCTTCTTGTCCACTGATCCCAACACCAATGTGAGCCACTATAAATGTTAAAAAAATATATATACATATATATATATATATATATATATATAATTAATATCCACTTAACAAATCTATGGATTATATTTAAGGTGCATAATTCAAGCAAAACTAAATCAGTTAACTTACAATTTAAAAAGGAAGAATAAAAAATAGGATGCTCGAGAAATATCTTTTATTCATTGCTGCAAAGGACAATGAAATGTTCTATCAAAATATGATCTGCAGATAAATAAAAGTTTCTTTTTAGCTTAAATATTTACGGCTGACAAAAATAAAGAGAACATGCAAATGTCTATTGTGATTTAGATTAACAAAAATTACATATAACTGTTCAAAACTGTGTTTTAGAAAATATCAAAAGACAACTTCAAGTACCCTAATTTAAATTATTTAGGATACAGATATTATGAGGGGAAAATAACCATTTAGCAGTTGAAAAATTATGATTAATTTTCGATATCTGTTGAATCTGTTAAATATGTAATTAAAACATTTTGCAGGAGATAAAATTACAGGAACTTACTGAATTTACCATAGTTCACACTGTGACCTTTTTACGCCACATCAAACCTTCTTATCATGTAAGGAGTCTAGATTTGGACATCCTTTATACAACTAAAGCACATATTGAGGTTTGTTGCATGCTCAGAATTCTGGCTTTTTTTAGCAAAACTTTTTCAATTACTCTTTTTCTGCATTTCAATATATTGCATCATTGTTATGAATCTGAAGAATAGTAATAATAAAATCCTTTCTTGAATATCCTGCACTTTTTTCTAACTTTTTTTAGACAAAAAAAAAAAAAAAAACTGAACTTTGGTTTAAATGAACTCTCTTGGAGCTCTTTGAAGGTGAGGATATCCACAGAATGGATTGGCCAAGCATGCTTCCGATTTAAATCTTGTTGAACATGTGCGGGATACTTTAGGGAGATGTCCAGCAGCGAAATCCCACCCTCTGGAGAACATCAAACAAATGAAACAGATGGTATTTGAAGAATGGGAACTTTTACCCCAAGAGCAGTTAGATAATCTGTTGTTGAGTATTAAAAGACAAGTGTGTTAACGCCATCCATTGCTCGCCGAAAGAGCATGCTCCTGCTATTCGTATGAAGCTAAAAATAATTTATTTCTATTTTTAAATGAATGAAGTTTTCTATGATTATGTTTCAGAGATGTGGCAACACGCAAATATTTTTATTGCAATTGTGTTCTAAAGATATAAGAAAGTTCTGTTTCCAGTTTGTACGTTGGAGCAAGAGAATAAATATTTATGATATTTATTGTGTAAAGTTTTGATTTCCAGCCCATTCCACAAAGAAGTGAACATAACATTTTTAGTGTCAGAAGTAGGATTAAGTGAAAATGTAGTAGTAATAATGTGCATCATCAAATTTTGTGAGAAAAAATAATGTGGTGATATGGGAATATGTGTTGCACAGGAATCGGCAGTGAAAATAATGGTTCTCTTCTGTAGATTATGGCGAATAGTTATTTCAGTTTGTTGTAATAATGTTTAGCATTAAATTCTATTTATTAGTGTTGGTAATTGAGGTATTCCTACTTGATAATTTGAGTTAATAGTGTCTGTGTTGAGTTTGCTGTATTCGTTTTTGTGCTTATTGTGTTCTAGTTGTCAATTCAGGGTTGTTGTATTTTTCTTTGAATTAAGAAAAGTCTGAAGTCGCTTAAGTCATTCAAAAAAAGACGAGTTCACGCTTGTGGTGGAGGAGTTGGGATTAGTCATTCCGAGCGGGGCGGAAGTTGTTACTTCAACTTTAATAGAAGTCAAAGTTTATGCAATATGCTAATTTGTACAAATGTTTTGTAATATTCTAGGAAAAGAAAATACAAATGAAACAAAAATCGGAAAAACGAAATTAGATAGAGTTAGAGAAAAAAACTTTCTCGAGGCGAATTAGCTTTAGTTAACGCTAGAAAACTTGCTACAAATCCAATGTTGATACGGACACTCATCAAATATGGAAAATTTAATTAAAGGTAAAAACATAAATTCTGTACCTACTAGAGAATCCTTTAACTCTTTCCACAATTGAAAGGGCTTTATGACAAAACAAGTACCTGAAGATTTAAAAGCAGAATCCATTAAATATTTTGGAGAGAAGAACTAATTAATGGTATATGTGAGAGAAGATTTAATAATTATGATAAACTAACACATGATTTTAAAAATTTCACCAACCCTCAAGAGGTTAAATCATTTCATTCTAGCAAAAATTGTCATTGAAATTTCTTACAATTGATCATGAAAAAATTCGTGAACTGACGTGAATAAAGTCCCATATAGCAGTTAACATGAAGAGACATGGTTGAACTCCAAACTTGGTCGGAATGCGATATTTATTGTCATCAAAGGTAACAAACCAGAACCCTTTTTGCAAAAAATTTAAGGTACGATCATAAAAGAGGCGAAAAATGTAATAATAATGTAATACTTCGTAATACAATACAAAAATATTTCTAATGATATATGTATCGAGCAAAAGATCAACGGTATTTGGTTAAAATATCCAAAACCACTTGATACAAAATTGTCCTAATTTTAAAGGCTTTCAGTAAATGACGTGTTGAAATTATTAACAAAATAGCCTTTGTTTCAAACGTTTTTCTTCGAAGTGTAATGCAAAAAAGTGTAGACCAGAAATTTTTTCTGTGGAAGGTCATCATATAATATTCATTTCTATAAACAAAATAACCTCTTTCCAAAGTAGGAACGGTGGTGGAACAACGGTGCATTCTTCAGTGTAAGGTCAAGCAATATAAATCATCTGTGCTGTTACTCATTGCAGTGTATAGTTAGCTCTGTTGATAAAACAAAATTAAATAAAATGACGCGAATTTTATGTGATAATGGCTCTGAAAGAAGCTGATGTATGAAGTCCCTTGCCAATTGCTTAAAATTAAAATCAATTAGAAAGGAAAGGTTGTCAGTTTTTTCCTTTGGCTCAGCAAAATCTACTGAGAAATTATACGAAATAGTAGAATTAAAATTATCTAGCACATACAACCCTAATCAGTGTATTCAAATTGAAGTGCTAGAGGCTGATACTATTACAGTGGCATCTGTTTCTGTTCCAAATGAAGAAGTACAAAATATTATGCAGTTCCGGGGATTAGTCTTAGCTGACTGCTGTGACAGTGATATAAACATTGAGATATTAATTGGGGCAGATGTATTTTGGCAGATTATTGAAGCCTCAGCTTTCGAAAAAATAAACTGGGAAATTACTTGCGTGCCAACGATTTTCAGGTTTGCTTTACAGGGAAGTCAAGATGTTTACAAGCCAAATGTTAAGACTGCAATTTCAGCGAATTTTGTGTAGCTGCTTCAGATGTTCAGATATTGTGGAAGCTTGATGCTTTAGGAATTAAAGGAAAAAAAGAGTTAAATGTAGTTGATAAAAGCGCTGATAGATGAATTTGAGAAAAATTTTAAATTCATGAATGAGAGATATGAAACTGATTTATTATGGAAGTTTAGTTACAATGAATTAGGAAAAATTATTTTTTAACTAAAAAGATGTTTCATGAGTTCGAAAGGATTTTTCTAAAAATGATTGGGTTGCTAACGAGTATAGGGATATAATAAATGACCAAAAACAAAATGGAGTTATTGGGGAACGCGAGAGAGATGAGCATGAGTATTTTATGCCTCATAGAGCAGTTTTTAGGGACGATAAAGAAACAACCAAATTCGTATAGTCTTTAACTGTAGTTCAAAATCTAAAGGTAAACTTTCTTTAAACGATTGTTTGGAAATTGGCCCAAATTTAAATCCAAATATTCTTGATGTGATTCTAAAATTTTGTAATTACAAAATAGCGTTTAATGTTCCCCTTTCATTTTGAGCGCTACGATAAAGCATCATATAAAAAAATATGAGAAAAGTAAACCGAAGTCATTTGAAATGTAAATTCATCACTTTACGTAGACGTTATATTATGGTGGAGACATGTGAGAGAATCATTTTTTGATTGTCGGAATGCTGTATCAATATTAAAGAGTGGTGGATTTAATTTGAGGAAACTGAGGTCAAACAGTACAGAATTAGAAAAATTGTGAATAGAAAATGGACTTTTTGACTAACAATTTTGTAACAGGATGATTCTTAGGTAATATTATTTGATGTTTCACAGTCTAGTAAGCTGACATTTCTTAAATGTCCTCCTACACGTAGTATGCCACTTTTGTCTGAGAACGGTTTTAGAGAAATTAAAGAACTTTTCTTTAACACTCTCGCTTTCTCTACAGTAGCTATTTCCTTTTTATACTCAGTTCTTTGGACTAGTTTGATTATAATATCACGCGCTTCTTTTAGTTCACTTGTTTCTAAGAAAGGAGTCAAAATCCTATTCCCCCTCACATTTCTTATAAACCTTAAACACCAAGCAATTGAGATAATGGGAGTTCAACAGCTGAAAGTCCTAGAGCTGAATTGGAATCCTTATAGAGACGAGTTGTCGCTGGAGGTGAAGGTTTTGGTGGATTCGTGGAAAACATTATTACGACACACTAAAAGATGTGTTTTACAAGCAGCTGCAAGAATCTTTGATCCTATTGGTTTGATTGCGCCGTTTGTGATATGTATAAAGTTATTGTTACAGGAAATCTGGGAGAGAGCATGTGATTGGAAGGAAGAGTTGCCGGAGGACTTGCAGGAAAAGTGGATAACGTGGTGTAACAGAATTGAAAAATTAATAGACTTTACTATTCCGAGATATTGTTTTCTGGATTGTGAGAAAGAGCAATCAGAAGTACATGTGTTTTGCGATGCTTCACCAAGTGCTTAAGGAACTGTTGTTTATTTTACATATTGTGGGAATAATGGGAATTACAGAATATCTTTCAGAATGTCGAAGAGTAGAGTGTCACCACTAAAGAAACTAATGCTGCCATGGTCGGAGCTAATAGCCTTGGTAATAGGCACTAGAGTGGAAAATTACCTTAAGAGTGTTTTTAAGGATAAAATTGAAAGA